GCCGCAAACCACTCGTTTTCGTCCGCCTCCCATCACTCGTTTTTTCGCCTCCCATCACTCGTTTTCGCCTCCCATCACTCGTTTTCTCGCCTCCCGTCATTCGTTTTCGCCTCCCGTACTCGAATTCGCGTCCCATCACTCGTTTCGGAGTCCCTTCACAAGTTTCCGGCTCCGTATACTCGTTTCCTCCGCCTCCCTTCACTCAGTCCGCCACCCATCACTCCTTTCCGCCTCCCTTCAATCGTGTCCTTCTCCCATCACACATTTGATCCTCCCATCACTCAATTCCGCCTCCCTTCACTCATGTATGTCTCCCTTCATTCATTTCCGCCTCCTTCACTTGTTATCGCATCCCTTCAGTCATTAGCGCCTCCCTACACTCGTGTCCGCCTCCCTACACTCGTGTCCGCCTCCCTTCACTCGTTTCCGCCACCCATCACTCATTGAGGCCTCCCTTCACTCATTTCCGCATCCCTTCACTCAGTACCGCCTCCCTTCACTCAATTCTGCCTCCCTTCACTCAATTCCGCCTCCCTTCACTCATTTCCGCCTCCCTTCACTCGTTTGCGCATCACATTACTCGCATCCGCCTCCCTTCACTCGTTTCCGCCTCCCCTCCATCACTCGTTTCCGCCTCCTTTCACTCAATTCCGCCTCCCTTCACTCATTGCCGCCTCCCTTCACTCATTTCCGCCTCCCTTCACTCATTTCCGCCTCCCTTCACTCATTTCCGCCTCCCTTCACTCATTTCCGCCTCCCTTCACTCATTTCCGCCTCCCTTCACTCATTTCCGCCTCCCTTCACTCATTTCCGCCTCCCTTCACTCATTGCCGCCTCCCTTCACTCATTTCCGCCTCCCTTCACTCATTTCCGCCTCCCTTCACTCATTTCCGCCTCCCTTCACTCATTTCCGCCTCCCTTCACTCATTTCCGCCTCCCTTCACTCATTTCCGCCTCCCTTCACTCATTTCCGCCTCCCTTCACTCATTTCGCCTCCCTTCACTCGTTTCCGCCTCCCATCACTCGTTTCCGCCTCCTTTCACTCAATTCCGCCTCCCTTCACTCATTGCCGCCTCCCTTCACTCATTTCCGCCTCCCTTCACTCATTTCCGCCTCCCTTCACTCATTATCGCCTCCCTTCGGTCGCTTGCGCATCCCATCACTCGTATCCGCCCCCCTTCACTCAATTCCGCCACTCATCGTCCCTCAATCTTATCCCTCATCTCTGCCATATCCCCCCCATAGCTCCCTCCTTCCCCTCACTCCCGTTCTAGCCTCTCCCATCTGCGCGCTTCTCCCCATTCGACACGCTTCCTCCCCCCTCTGTCCCTTATTCGCCCCCCTTGCTATCCTCTTGGCCCGCCCTGCCCCTCATGCTTACCTTCCCTCCCTCCCCTCACCTCCCTCCCTGTCCACAGGCAAGCAACCCTCTCTCAACCACCCCAGTCGAGATGTGAGTCGCCACTTGCTTAGCATGGAGATGGCGGGTGGCTGGGGGGGGGGGGCGAAGGGAGGGGGAAAAAGCAGCGGGACGGCGCATGGCAGCACTGCGAGGAGGGGGGGGGGGAAGGGGAGGAAATAGCAGCGAGAGGGGAGAGGAGGGGGGGGGGGGGGGGGGGGGGGGGGGGGGGTTCCTCCTGTGTTCTCTCTCTCCCCATATCGTGCGCCCCATCCCACCCCACCCACCCCTCCCCACCCCCACCCCCTCCTGTTCTCAAAACGCACCCCTTTCAAATGTCGCTTATTCATGTCTGTGTACCTCCATCTCTGCCTCACTCTCTTCGTTCACCTCTCCAATCTCGTCCTCCCCTCAGCCTTCCATCTCCCCCCGCTCACCCCTACCACATCTCTCTCTTTGCATTACTCCTTTCTCAACCCTTTCTCCTCTCTGCCAATACTCTGAACTGTACCCTGTCCCCTCTCTACCTATGCTCCTCTCTACTACCTTACTCCCTTGAAACCTTCCTCCCTTATCTACCTTCTGGCTCTGCCTTACTCCCCTCTCCACCCTTACCAGGGTCTGCCTTACTCCCCTCTCCACCCTTACCCCTCTTTGCCCTTACTCCCCTCTCCACCCTTACCCCTCTCTGCCTTACTCCCCTCTCCACCCTTACCCCTCTCTGCCTTACTCCCCTCTCCACCCCTTACCCCTCTCTGCCTTACTCCCTTCTCTAACCTTACCCCTCTCGTGCTTATTTCCTTCTCTACCCTTTCCCCTCTCGTGCTTACTCCCCTCTCCACCCTTACCCCTCTCTGCATTACTCCTTCTCTACCCTTTCCCCTCTCGTGCTCACTTTCCTTCTCAACCCCCTCTCCCCTCTCGTGCTTACTTCCTTCTCTAACCCTTTCCCCTATCTGCATTACTCCCAGGACTTTCCTTTCGGTGTTTCTGTGCCTCTCTTTATCCCCCCTTTCGCTCCCTCCCGCCCCTCTTTCCCAAGAAAACTACAGCATATTGCACGTAGACACTTGTATCAGCAGTCTTCATAACGCCCCCTCTCTCCCGTAATCACGGGGACCTCTTGCTTTCCCTTCCTTGCTTCTTCCCCCCCCATCCTCATGTCCCCAAACACCATATTCCCCCATGTGCTGGTTCAGGGTTTATCCCCCTACCCCTCATCTTTCACCCATTTATCTCACACTTTATTTCGCATGCTCTCCCCGAACGTAATTATCGCCACCCATATGCTGCGAACATCCATGGATATCTCCTAGTCCCCTCTCCCACTAATACCCGCCTCTCTCCCCTCCCACCACTATCCTTTTGGCCATCCCCCTTCACGCTTACCTGCCCTCCATCCCCTCACTTCCATGCCAATGGGCCTGCACTCTCTCCCTTCCACCGGCTGTCCTTTTTGGCCATACATGGGCTTTCACTCTTCCCTCTGTTCAATCTCAGCCAAAAATCGCGACACCCGCCTCCGTTCTCCTCCCGGACTGGAACGCTCACGGAAGAACAATGACGAACGGTCACGAGAATTCCAACCGCTTATCGAGGAAGACCCGATCTGGCGGACCAATACGGTAAATATCTTGTGCAGAAAGCTCGCTTTGCATGCCAGTTTAGGGATTAGCTATGCAACTACTTGGGCAGGGGTATGCTTGTGAGTAATATTGCATAAAAAACGTGTCCTTTGGTTTCCCATTGTGTGGCAGGCCACGCTCTCGTGCGCTCATGCCTCGTCGGCCAGATCCCATTAGGCTAGTATGTGAGGATGACGAGGAAGAAACGGTTCCGCAGAGTCTATCCGATCCGCGTCCAGTGACTTCGAGCGTGGAGTCTCAGACAAGCAGTCTCTCGAACTTCTCCACACCTAAGATCACTAGACGGGCCCGAGTTCGATCTGGCCTACCACCAGTGATTAGGACGCCATTGTACTGCTGGACGATCGCTGAATTTGCAAGGCGGTTTCCAAAACAGTGTGAGGTGTTGGGCAAGTGGGGCTCAGCGTGGTTGGGGTTCCCTAGCGAGTCCACAGTGGGTCGCTTCGCCACCGAGCGTACCGTCGAGAACATCATTCGTGTCTGTTGCGGTGCAAACATTGAGTGTTGGTGCAAATGAGGAGTTGTATCCGAAAAACCACCGCTTCCGTTGTTATGTCTGTTATTCTGGACTTGTTGGGTGATGACTCAGGTGATCAAGTTGAGCTGCCATGGTTGATCTACGGTATGTGGTTATTGCAACAATATACCCCGAGCCTCAAGGCGGGTTGTATGTTGGATGTGGTGCGGATGATGTGGCGTGGTTCAATGCAATCCGAGGGTTGCCCACTCGCATCGACTTTGATTGTGCTAGTGCTAATGGGTTGCTTGGTATTGAGGGTAGCACTTAGTGTTCGTTCACTGTACGAATACCGTATGTCTAATTTGTAGACCCGTGTGCATGTTAGTTGCTAAATAAGCGCACCCTGAGTAATTCATAAAATGAAAACGGCAAGTCCAATCTCGTATGCGACCACTCTTGCCGTCATTGACCTTATTACGGTAGCATAGTGCCAACAATCCCGCCATGCCAACGATATGTTGTATAATAACATCACCGGGTCCTGCAAATGGTATGGAGGGGGGGCATGCAGGAGGTGAAACGGAAAGCAGTCAAGGGGAAGCAAGGAAGGGGAGGGACGCATAGTCAATCAAAATATATGAATATGCCAAGAGGGGTTTTATGCAGGTCACAGAAGCGAATCGAGTCAAGGTGCTACAGAACGTAGGACCCCATGCAACTAGACATGTGGAAACTGTTATGTACAAATGTCTGGAAAAGTAAACAAAGAAAACGCAGACATTTTCAGCATACCGTTACGGGGCTACACAGTCGTGGAAGCGAATGCAGGTGGGTGCGAAGGAAGCCCGATAGTGGAAGGAAAAGGAGGCCAGTCGTTGGGGGGAACAAAGCCCTACAGTGGGGGGGAATGAAGACAGGGAGTGAGGGGAAAGGAGGTTAGGCAGTGGGGGGAAGGAAGTCCTGCAGTGGGGGAACGAAGACAGGGAGTGAGGGGAAAGGAGGTTAGGCCGTGGGGGGAAGGAAGTCCTGCAGTGGGGGGAATGAAGACAGGGAGTGAGGGGAAAGGAGGTTAGGCAGTGGGGGGAAGGAAGTCCTGCAGTGGGGGGAATGAAGACAGGGAGTGAGGGGAAAGGAGGTTAGGCAGTGGGGGAAGGAAGTCCTGCAGTGGGGGGAATGAAGACAGGGAGATGAGGGGAAAGGAGGTAGGCATGGGGGGGGGAAGGAAGTCCTGCAGTGGGGGGAATGGAACGGATGTCGCGACGGGGAAAAAAACAATAAGAGGGGGGAACGGGATGGTGTGCTAAGAGTCGAGACAGGATGTTGGAGGGGGGGCCAATGTGATGTGGTAAGGGAAAAAACAAATGCAAGAGGGGGGAACGGCATGGTAAGGCCTGCGGGAGAAAACATAATGTAAAAGGTGGGAAACGAACGGTGCTCTATGTGGGAAGGACACATTTCAAGGGGGGGAAACGAAGTAACATTATTAGGGATAACATAAAATACATACTTTGGGGGGCGGAAAAGCCAACCCTAATCAAAATGGTTGCTGTTTTTCCTTGGTGGCACCAATATGCTCATGCGACCATTGCTAAGATCACCTGCATGGACCAAGGGGCAGAACGCAACAAAGGTGTTAGATGTATGGTAGTGTTCATATTTTAATCAGCAACAAATCACCAGATGAAGCATGTTTATTCCGATGGGACGTACCAGATAAAGGCCGTGGAGTTATCGTTGGCCGGTTGGACAAAGTTCGACTCCGCTTGGACGGAGGTTGAGGGGTGTGTGGAGCTGAAACCACAGTGTCAACTTCAACATCCTCATCCATGCCGTCACCTTTCATGCACTCCCAATCCTTCATGATGTCATCAACCCAGCTCCAGTTCATGGGCCCCAAAACACGGCTGGTCTTCCACGACGCACTCGTGTTGCTCGCCGGATCCCTTATTTTTGTAGCACGCACCTCCCTCTCCAGTGAGTTGTTCCAATGCATGATAGCAAGCCCCACACGTGCTTTCATGCTTCCATGAAATAGTATGCGTTTGGGTGCATACTTGCAAATTAATGAATGAAATGACTCATTCATCCAATTGCCAGCTCCATGGACATATGCTGCCATCTCCTCTGGCCCACAATTTTCCGCCAACCAAGCCTTGAACGCTATGTGAGTATCTGAGCCTGGTGCGTACACTGCACTCTCTAATCCCCAATTATCCCTGACACATCTAGGAAGGGGGGATCCTTGGCGGGCACAACGTGAGTGGTCACCAGCCCAATGATCAGCAGCAAGTCCAATCTCGTATGCGACCTCTTTTGCCGTCATTGATCGCCCTTCCTTGAATAGCGCGGCACAGCGAGCCATCACGTGATGAAAGTGGATGCTAAATCGCTGCGCGACAGTCACCTCCCTGATCACGCCCTACGTCGACGAGGTTCCCCCACCTGGGGCGAACATCGTCAGTGGCATGTGGATTTTCAGGGTGAAGCGGCCGCCGGGTTCTCCGCCTGTCTTCAAGGCGCGTTACGTGGCTCGAGGCTTCAGTCAGCGGCAGGGAGTTGACTACTTTCAGACCTTCTCGCCGACCCCGAAGATGACCACTCTTCGGGTTTGCTGCACGTTGCTGCTCAGCGTGACTACGAGCTTCAATCCCTTGACTTCAGCACTGCTTTCCTACAGGGCAGTCTGCACGAGGAGATCTGGCTGCGCCGCCCACCTGGCTTCACTGGGTCGTTTCCTGCTGGTACCCGGTGGAGCCTCCGGCGGCCAGTCTAACGGTCTCACGCCAGGCGCCACGTGAGTGGCACGACACACTGAGGACTACGCTTTGCGGCTCTTGGGTTTGCTCCTTCCACTGCTGACCCGTCGCTGTTTCTTCGCACCGACACTTTGCTGCTTCTACATCCTCGTGTACGTCGACGACTTGGTGTTTGCTACAGGTGACATTGCTGGACTCGCCCACGTGAAGTCCGAGCTGCAGAAGAGACACACGTGCACAAACCTGGGTGAACCGCGCAGCTATCCTTGGCTTGCAGATCACCCGGGACAGAGCACGCAGAACCATTACTCTGACTCAGTCACACATGGTGCAGCAGGTCCTTCAGCGCTTCGACTTCACGTACTCCTCGCCTCAGGCCACTCCTTTGTCTACTCGCCACTCACTCTCAGCTCTGCCTTCGGATGAGTCCGTAGAGCCGAGTGGCCGTACCCAGAGCTTGTTGGCTGCCTCATGTACCTGATGACCTGCACTCGACCTGACCTAGCATACCCTCTGAGCATCTTGGCACGCTATGTTGCTCCTGGGAGACACCGACCAGAGCACATGGCTGCAGCGAAGAGGGTGTTGCGCTACTTGTGCAGTACTTCGGGCTTGGGGCTAGTGCTTGGAGGGCGGAGTCCAGTGGTCCTCACTGGTCACGCAGACGCGTCTTGGGTTGACGACCTGGCTACGCAGCGGTCGTCACAGGGTTACACCTTCAGCCTTGGTTCCGGCTCTGTTTCGTGGCGGTCTACTCGCTCGTCTTCTGTTCTCAGCTCCAGCTGTGAGGCTGAGATCTACACAGGGGCCATGGCTGCACAGGAGTTACGCTGGCTCACCTACTTGCTGACTGACCTGGGAGAGCCGCCTCGTTCTCCTCCAGTTCTGTACGTAGACAACAGGCTATGCTGGCCTTGTGTCGGGAGCACAGACTGGAGCACAGAACGAAGCACATTGCTCTTCGCTACTTCCTTGCTCGTGAGCTGCAGCAGCGTGGTCAGCTGCGCCTTGCTTACGTGTCCTCTCAGGCCAACACTGCTGATATCTTTACCAAGGCACTTCAGCCTTGTGATCATCAGCG